TACCAACTCTAGTAAGTGTTATTGACTATGGCAAAATGAATAGAAACTGCGATCATTTTTAGAATGCTGTTGTTACTGTTTCGCAGCCGCAACATTGTAAATTTGAGACTGATTTTTTCCTATAAACACGTGAAATCTATCAGCGTGAGCATTCGCAAATATTTGCGCAGCATTGCAGCGCTATGTCACTCCCGACAGTATCGTAAAAGAGAAATTATATTGAATTTTAAGGGAAGTTTAATTTTATTTTGTTTAGTTATAATTAAATTTTTTGAGCTAAAAAAATCCGAAATTAGCGGTTCCAAAATTAACGCTGTTTGAGTAGCCTTGTAATAATATATTTCACTAATATAATACAGATACACTAAGTGTATCCGTATTACTACACTATATGTATATATACTAATAAATTACATACATAGTGTATTACACTTTGACTCACTCCGGGCTCGGCTGCTGTCGTGAGTAGGTTACTGTATCGTTTGTTTATAGCGGCTCGTGATGAAAAATATCGATCGCTTTAGAAATACAAAATATTCCAAAAACTAAATTTGATACATACCAAGGTCAGATAATATTATTATTATTTTTATAATCATTAATCACAGATTTTCGTTGCAATATATTGTTTCGCTAAAAGTACAGGATTTATATATAAATATGTTATACGTCTTGGACTTCATGGAGTGATCTGAAAGTGTACTTCGGTATCTGCCACTGGAACTCCCCGAAGAGTAGACCTAGGTGTGCAGACTTTTGCTTCGATTTGTTAGTTATGATGAGATTTTATCATCCGGGCTTGTTAGTCACCTGAAAGGTGGTGGTTATGACTACCTGAAAAACTTATTGAAAACGATATAAAGTTGATGTTGGGAAAAAATTGTCAGGTAAATAAGACTAGTTTTTACGATTAAATCATCAGTACAACTGTTCTATTTTGATATCATATAATAGCTTAAACAACTTTTCTATCACAATTTCGTTCTTTATAATGTTCATTACTGTTCACGCACGATTGTTACACTTCCATCGCGCGTCTCGAACGGGGTGAGGAAACGGTTAGCGTTGCGCGGGAGGCGGGGGCTTGCTGGGTCGTACGCGCACAGCAAGCGCCCCAGTCGGCAGGAACTTTGGAGGGCTATAGCCGTGCCAGTTAGACGTCGGGCGTTACATAATAGTTTGCGTCGAATGTCGCGAGCCTCTTACAGTGTTATCTTAATTTGTTTTCGTGATAACGAGGCCGGAATAATATAATTATTGTTGTAACCGTTTTAAGTATTGTTTTGAATTACTATTGAACATTTGGGTCTAATTAGACCGCCTCGAATTAAGTGCTTCGTTTGATAGCGTGATAAGACTTTTACTTTGTCGCTGAGAACGCTGAACCTTGTGATTCCGGTGTTTATCGCGCTCGATAATAGTTCGTGCTAGGTGACGCTGGACTTGGGTTCCGATAGCGGTGAGCGTCTTGTGGAGCGGTCGGCGCACGTAGTGCTGCTATCTGATCGTATTGGTGACGCCAGGTTACACTATACATTTTCCTACACTACACACCTACTACTATTTACTTGCCCCTGACGCCACCTTGTGGTAGACACTACACTTCTGGAATTCGGTAAGTTTTGTGTTTGCGTATCTACCGTTCTAATTTAATTATCCATAGGTCCTTGGACCCTCCCCTCTGTTATTCGTCGAATTGGGCTACCGTGGGCCCTAGCTCAATCGACCTTTGTCGGGGTAACTCAGGGCCTTAACATTCTGGTAGCAGTGTTTGATTGTTTCTGCAATCGTGCCCGGCCGTAATATAATTTTTTTTTTGTTTTGCTAGCGGATCGTTGTATAGAACCACGCACATTTTGGTTACAGAGCGTGGTTGATTGTTTTTGCAATCACGCCCGGCCGTAATATAATAATAATTTTTTTGTTTGTTTGCGGGTCGGTAGAATTTAGACCACGCCCGTTAAGCGGCGTAAGCGGAGTGTAGTTAGGTTAGGTTACCTACGCGTCACGTATTCGTATTTAGTATTTGTATTTGCATTCGTATTGTAGACTAAATTGCCGAAGGGTAGGTCGCCTTAGCGTGGCATCTTGTTGACCGACTGTAGTGAGTACTTGCGGTGTAGTAATTGTGTTTAATTTAATTAATAGTAATTGTATTAATTAAATTAATTGTGTAGTGTAATTTGTATTATATTTGATAAATAATAATTTGTATTTGTAGTAATTTGTATTGAATTTAATTTGATAGTAATTGTATAGAGTAGTGATGCTATCGCACAAGCCACCAGCGCTTCGCTTGCAGGCGGAGCTGCGCTGGGCTGCAAACGCCCACAGCTTGATAGGGTGACCCGATCGGGTCCATAGTTTAGAGAAGCTTCTCGAGCAGGTCATGGCCCGAAGGGCCGTAGTGGAGGAGGCTTGCACTGAGCTTATGGCCTCGGGAACGGAAAAGGGAGTCCTAGACTCCTGCCTCGCGGACTACGAGCAATTTTTTTCGCTCACGGACGACTTGATCGAGACGGGGGCCAAGTATGCTATTGACGTGCGTGAAGCTCGGCTGAGTGGCCTGCTGGAGTCCCCTCGGAAGCAGCCTACTCAGCCGGAGCTGTTGGGACGACTCCCAACTCTGGACCTGCCAAGGTTCTCCCGGGTCCTCTCCGAATTGCTGATCTTTTTGGGACTGTTTGACAGCCTAGTGGACGCCCGGAGGGACTTGACATCCAGCCAGAAGATGGCTTACCTCCTGGCCTCACTGTAGGGGGAGGCTCTGGGCGTCGTCGGCCATGTGAAATTGTCGGACGACGCCTACAAGACCGCTCGGGACCTCGCCGGAAGGTACGCCAACGTACGGCGAATCGCGGACGAACACGTCAAGCAGCTGTTTAACCTCCCGCTGCTTAAGGAACAGGCCAGACTACGTCCGGACATCGTAAATCCAGTCTTGGTGGCCTGCATTTCTTTGAGGCGGCTGGATTTACCGGTGGACGAATGGTCCTTTTTGCTGCTCCACATTGTGCTGTCCCGCCTGCCTCTCGATCTTCGGATCCATTTCGAGGAGAGGTACGGCGGGGACGGCGCCTCCTATATTCCGCCCTTCAGGGATCTGCTGCGGTTCTTGGAGGAGCAGTGCAGGCAACAGGACTTATTGGACTGCTGCGATGTCCGGGAATAGCATCCACGGGAAATTCGAATCTCCGGGTTGCCCACGTTGGGGCGATAATTTGAGGCAGTGGTTGGGGTTGCAAGAGCGCATGTCCGTCGCGTTAGTGGCCGAGGTTTTGGTTGGAGATTCTGTCTTGCAACGCGCCGTTGCGACCCTATCCCGGTTGCTAATTTACTCGTGAACATAGGTCCTTATGTCCGGAAAGGGGGTTTGTTTACGCACGATAGTTACACTTCCATCGCGCGTCTCGAATGGGGTGCGCGGGAGGCGGGGGCTTGCTGGGTTGTATGCGCACAGCAAGCGCCCCAGTCGGCAGGAATTTCGGAGGGCTACATCCGTGCCAGTTAGACGTCGGGCGTTACATAATAGTTTGCGTCGAATGTCGCGAGCCTCTTACAGTGTTATCTTAATTTGTTTTCGTGATAACGAGGCGGGAATAATATAATTATTGTTGTAACGGTTTTAAGTATTGTTTTGTGACTGGTATACGGTTGCGGGCGGCCGGTGTTTGGACTTGAAGGCCTTTGGTTAATTGTGCGCGCCATTTTGAATTACTATTGAACATTTGGGTCTAATTAGACCGCCTCGAATTAAGTGCTTCGTTTGATAGCGTGATAAGACTTTTACTTTGTCGCTGAGAACGCTGAACCTTGTGATTACGGTGTTGATCGCGCTCGATTATAGTTCGTGCTAGGTGACGCTGGACTTGGCTTCCGATAGCGGTGAGCGTCTTGTGGAGCGGTCGGCGCACGTGTTGCTGCTATCTGATCGTATTGGTGATGTCAGGTTACACTATACATTTTCCTACACTACACACCTACTACCCTTTACTCGCCCCTGACGCCACCTTGTGGTAGACCCTACACAAGGTAACCGTTCCAATTTAATTATCCATAGGTCCTTGGATCCCTCCGTTATTCGTCCTCCCCTCTGTTATTCGTCGAATTGGGCTACCGTGGGTCCTAGCTCAATCGACCTTTGTCGGGATAACTCAGGGCCGTAAGTTTTGGATGTCAGCTTGTCGTAAAAAAATTGATAAACGTTTTTGTTGCATAGAATTCATATCATTAGATATAGATTCAATTCAACAAAATTATTTACTACCGTTATTGATAGGAAGCTTAACAGAAGGCGCTAGTGACACATTAGTACAACCGACACAGTTAATATTTAGTACAATAAATCCGCAGAATATCATCATCATCAAATAATTTTTATATTATAAATATCATGAACGTATGTATAAATTATTAAGTTTTATTGGTATTATGGTCGAGTTTTGTATTTTTTTGTATATATCAAAATATAGTATAATGAAGACTTTGAACCCCGTGATTCTGACTTTATTATTTAAAGTTTGAATGCGTTTTTGCGTTTGAATTAATTAACGTCTGTCAATATGAGTAATGATAATTTATCACTTCACTTCTCCCGCAGAGAAGAATGTAGAAAATTCCAGGAAGATTTATGGCTTACATATGAGGGTAGCATCAACAATCTCCTTTATTCCAACAGTAAAATTATCCAGATTAGCAAGTTGGAGCAGCTTCAAGGTTTCGTGATGTTAAGTGGCTGAGATTGCTAATTCACCTGCCAAGTGCTCCGCAACCACTAGCCCATATTGTCCTATGGGTCTCGTAAGAAGCGGCAGAAGGAAACAAACAAGGATATGGGCATCAGCGCCTTCTTGATAACAACTGAAGGCGAAGAAATATTGTAGTCTCAACAAAAAATGTTGACTTGTTGAATTATTAAAAATGATCTCAAAGCAGGCTTGTTATTTATAACTTATAAGATTTCAAGCCTAAAAATTATTAATAACTTATTTTATTTCCAGTTATTTTGGACTGTTTGCATTCATGGGTTCTACAGTGTCTCAATTTTCTGGTAAGTTTACAGCAAGAGCTTATTATCTTATGCAAATATTTCCGAATCTGAGTTCTACTAATGTTATATAATCTTTCTTAAGGCAATGAAAATAAAATATGTTGTAATTAAATCACATATTATCAGGGTCTGGAATATACAAAAAGTACAAATTGTTCTATTGCTGATTTCCAACTCACGATTAATATCAAAAAAGTTATATCGCGCCGTATGGTTAAATCACACACACTTACATTTTCACAACTTACAAGCATACAGAAAGCTTAAAAAACTTGTGTGATAGAATAGTGCGTAAGTTTTTACAACCCGACACGGTGAAAACTAAGTACAGAAAAGAAAAATAATTGTTATTATTATAATGTCCCTCAAATCGAATTTCGATCACCGCGGCTGGTCTCAAATGGAGAGACTACCTACGCTGATATTATTATAGGCTACGAGTGAGTGCCTAAGCATATAAGAACTCTCTTTTTTCTCACTATCTTTGTCTAATGGGATGGAATTACGACACCATCCGAGAGAGATCAGGCGTAAGACTAAACTGACCAACGTCTTCATGTGCATGGTTAAAACCGGTATCTTCCTGACGTCGGCTGCTATGTTTTCTTGGCAGAAAAACCCAATTCCCCAAACCCTGATCATTAAGATAATATAAACCCTGATCATTTGCCGACGAGCACGACCGCTAAAGTCCCGGGATTCGAACCTGGGGCCTTCAGTGGTCGTTCTTAATATGATTATATGACCACTAGACTAATGTGGCAGTCAAATCAGAAAATCTGTTTAGACACTTATATGACATGAATACTTCAACTGAACTAAAATAAACGTTAACTAAAGTCAAGGCAAAATTTTTAATTCTTTTATCTCAAACCTTGAGCCGTGTTCACAATTATTATAAACAAATTTAGCATTCACAAATGACTGAATAGTAACAAGGCACGTAGCGCTCTGTATAAAAAGTAATACAAAGAAATTTAGTGCAATAGCTTTAGTCATGCAAAATAACTGAATTTTTTGTGATTTGAATTTTAAATTGCTAAATTTACCCACGGGAATGCCTGATGAAATTACAGCCTTCTTTGTTAGTTACTACTTATTTTTTGTACTTGCCTTTGCATGAAAAGACCTACCGTGACCATTGCCATTAAGCTTTGATCGAGATTAGTAGAAGCAGCTGCTGTTGGTGCCTTCAAAAGCCTCGTTTGATGAAATAAATTTAATATTACATATCAAATCATAACATCAACTACAAAGTTTAATGGAATTAATGAAAAATTTTACTTCGTTCACGTTTATAACATTTGAGAAATAAATTAGATTATTTTCTTTCTATAATGTACAAATTATTCGACAATAGTAAATAAATAATTGTGACCACTTTGCAGGTGGCTCAGGACCGTGCTTTGTGGCATTCTTTGAAGAAGGTTTATGTTCTGCAGAGGACTTGTGAAAAGCTGTAATGATGATGATGATGAAATAAATTACACAAATTAAAGAAAGTTGAAAAATGGATAGAAATAACTTAGTCATACGTCATTAATAATAACATTATATTATGTATACCAAACTGGTTTAAGTAAGCCCTAGTAGCCAGAAAGTTAACTATGAACCGTGCACTGTGAATTCCCACATTCAACAATTTCTTTTACCGCCGCTTTGACAAATGGCATATGATAAGAGGTTCGTGTTAGTGAAGAAATTTACCATTTTTAAACGAAATTTGTATCAGATTGTAAGATAAAATAAATTAATTACGATAATAAGATTAGACTTTAAGAATGTAAATTGCGTACATGCTATACTAAAGTTTATACATGTAATATATAAATATATTTGGTTTCGTCTCTACATTTATTTTAATTTGCAATTTTTCAGATTATAATATTCTTCAAGATGTCATTGATATAACTGCAACTGGGAATATAGACTTCACTTCTGGCTCAGATGGACATCCTGCTTACAAATTTGAAGAATCGAGCAATATATCAGCTGGGGCTCAATCTATTTCCCTGTTTGACAAAACACTTTCCAGTCCATTTGCTATAAATATATTGTTTAAATTTGAAACAGTTGAATACTCTTGCTTATTCGCAATAATGGACTCAAAGAAAGAAATAAAGCTTAGACTGTGCTTAACACCGATCGGCCCAGATGCTGTAACAGTTAATATTGATAGCAGCAGTTTAGCAGAAAGTCAAGTAAATTTTAATGTCTATATAAATGAAGATCTTATTTCCAATTGGATAAATATTTTTCTGATCTTTGAAGACAAACGAAACATTTTATCTATTTATGTCAAATGTGAACACATCGATTCGATTATGTTAAGAGAAGAAATGAAAGATATTTATTTCTCTCAAGATTCACAAATTTTTATTGGACAATCTGGGACGGAAAAGAAAGATCCTTTTAAGGTAAGAAACAATTTTTTGACAAGATATTTTGATTTTGTTTCAAGAAACACATATTTGCAGTGCGGTAATATTGTAAGGTAGCTCAAAACCTCTTTTTGTTCATTCAATACCATCATTCTAGTCTCTCAAAAGTCTACTGGTGTGTTATATAGCGCCTATAAAATGGACAAATCGTTAAATTATATTTAGGACAACCTATATAAAAAATCTGCCATTAATCTAATCTAACTCTATAAAAAAGAGGTTATTCAATCTTATAAAAATAAAATGTAACAGAAGTAAGATACCTGTTACCTAATGCTCATGGTTAAATGCGAAACAAAACCACATTGCTCTGAGCATACTAGGGGCAAAGCCTCCATTTAAGCCCAGAAGCCGGGCTTACTCTATCAAACTGCTCAATTAATAATATAAAATAATAAAATAATTCGTAAACTGTTTCAAACTATTTTAAATTTCCTGCGCGCTCTTTTCTAGGCAGGGCATGACCTCGTAGCTTATAATATGTAATGCCTCATTTACATTCAGCCCTTGCCACTGCTCCTCGCGCTGCCGGCAATACTTCGCTAAATACTGCCGTAGCAGGATCGTGGGAAGTGTGTATTCACACTCTGCCCTACCACTCACATCGCTTTCGGCTTTCGACTATGGTGGACCTCGAAATAATTACAGCGTCCGCGCTGTGTCTTCTTGCAATACAAAATTATGTTAATAATTTAAAAAGATTTCAAATTCAAAAGAAGATAGATAGATAGATAGAAAATTTATTTGCTTAAAAACATGGTACATAAGATGATCAAAGACGTGGAACTGACATGTTTTGGCATAATTGATTAGTTAAGCCATTATTATTTTAATAATTACACTACAGTATTAATTAATTCATAATTTTAACTACAATAAAATTATAATTTATAAATCTCAGGCTATTATGCAAATATTACCATTTAACTTATTTCACACACACAATAAATAAATAATCAATATGAGTTACTAATCGTTGTTAGAAATAAAATGTCAATGTTCATTAATTCCTTAAACTAAATTTTATATTAATATAATAAATTTGACGAATTTATAATTAATTATGTACATAGGTACTATTGTATCTCATATATCTCAAAAAGAAAATTCGTATTCGTAGAAGATGATGAATTGTGGTTTTTATCGTTGAAATCCCATATAGTTTTTTCTGATTCCAGCAGTTCTAAAACTTTATTGTATTTTCATTATTCCACTCGAAAGGCATTTTGGTAGATCGTACTTATTTAATAACAAGACCGCACGCACGTCCGTTCATCCAGGCGTTTGTCGCGAAGTGAGCGATGGAGCTGAATGTGAACACTCACTGCCGCTCGCGCTGCCCGTCCTTTGACTTCCGCGCGAAAAACCGACATTTGAGCGATCGTCGGGCAGTGGCAGCGGCAGCGGCAGTGTCAGCGCGAGTAGCCCGTTTACATACTGCCCTGCCCACTGCCCTGCTCACTTCCCTGCCCAACAGGGCTGAATGTAAATCGGGCATAACGTCAACACTTGGCAGTTTATTTTCAGTTCAAAATAAACTGGACTGTCAAAATTAATGAAAGCAAGGAGTTTATTTTGTCGTCTCTCTCGCACGCGTTGGCTTTTTACCGGGCTTTCGAGAAGACGATCGCTCCTTTTCTAACCTATGGCAAAATGTTCTATAATGAAATATAACTACGATTGTGTTCGTAACAATTTAGTATAGAGCGTTAAGCCGGGCTTTTCGAATGAAGTTGATTAAAGTGAAGCACGTGCGATACGTTTGCAAGTTCACTTCACATTTCAATGTTTAGTGTTTTTACTCTGTGTAACTGAATAGCTCGAGCGCATGAATATTGCGAGTTGTAAATTTATGCTGTTTTAAAGATTTTTAGTGAAAATGGAGGATAATAGTATTCCTTGTAATGCATTGAAGTGTGTTAAAGTGTAAGAAAAATACTTTAATAGATACAAGACACTTTAGTATTAAAGTTTCATTATTCTAGGCGTATTTAAAGGTTATAACTCAATAATTATATTACCATATGAGTTAAAAATATAATTTTAAACTGCAGCATAAAATATAAGATACCTAGTTATAAGTTTAATTTTATAGCAAATAATTGTTACAATCTTTTTTTTTAATGTGAAGACCAAATTTTTAATGTAATAAATTAAATGAATTATTGAGTTTTTTAAGGAATATTTCCTTTAGTCCTTCAGTTCAGTATATAAAATTTTTGTGTAGTGTAGGTGTAGTCATTTTATCTAACGAAAATTGATTGATTCTCAGGGTGGTACGTAAAGATTACGCTAGATGGCACAAACACGCTATTGGCTAATTTAATCATTTAATACTTATATTACCTTAAGAGTTAAAAATATCATTATGTACGGTTTATTAAAATTAAAAATGAATAATTATATAACAAATAGTCATTATTTTATGGTAGAAAAATTTGCAAACCTTTATCTTCTCGCTATACTATATCTAATTTATGTCGTAATCAGTTCTTCTATGCATATAACTTAAACAAAATAATTTCGATGTTTCACATCTGCAAGGCGTCCATTTTTTAATTTTGTACATAGTTTGTTTGTACTTTGTTCATGCTTTTCTTTTGTTCATGTATTGTATTTTATGTAAATATCTTTTTCTTTCGCTCAAGCAAACCCAAACGGCTCTTTTCAAAGCCACCGAAGGTATGCAATTGCATATTTCATACAATCTATCTAGCGGTAGTATGCTTTCTGTGTGCTTTGATAAGCACTGAATATGAAACTAAAGAGTGGAGACAGATCAAGATTGGCGTATTTTTATAAAACTGCTAAAAACAACAAAACCATAATATCTTGGGCTTGCCCTAGTTTGGAGCCCTAGCTTCGCCAGTGGCTCAAACATACTATTGCCTTGTTTTAAGCACAGCAATGTATTGCGGCCAAAAAGCTACATATTTTTGTAGACATCGATACAACTCTAGCACTTAAGAGTAGTAAGAAAAAAGCGTGTGAAAAAGTTACATCTTGAATTCTTATGCATTCCGAGAAGCATGAAGTGCACTTTAATGTAGACCGCTTTCAACACGCCCTATCCCTTTCTTTAGAGATACACACCATGTAATTTCTGCTGCAATGGAACAATTTTTGTGTTAAAAATTAGAGCCTCACTTGGAACAAGAATATGACAGTATATATCAGGTACGTTTCACAGTCTCTCAGATATAACGCGAAAGTCCAAAAAGACTTCCAAAGTTACGTATTTCGTACTTTATCGTGCTGAAAAATAACCGTTAATTAATTATGCGGACTACTGACGCATTTCACCACAGAAATCGTATTATTAATATTTCTGTGCATTTCACATACACGCATACACCCAAACTCTCACTCAAGCACACACGTACGTTTAATAATGAGCCTTTATAATTATAAATATGAAAAAAATACTGTATGGTTACCTTAATAAAATAAAAATTCCACCTTTTGCTGCAGTTTTAATTATTTGTATAGCGCGGAAATAGACAAGGAGTTCTCAGGAGCTTTCGGAGCAAATTTGATCAAATAATTCCTTATTTTGTTTAATTGGACACAATATATTATATCTCAATTATCTACATGTAGTTTAGAAAATTCATAAGAACGGGTTGATGAAATATAGATGTTAATTTTGACATTTGTTAATTATTTTCATCTGTGTGCAATTTTTGAGTAATTTAGTGATAGAAGAGATAGTTTTAAAAGTATTTAAGTAATAAATGAAGTACAGAATATTCTAATTTACTGACAAGAGCTAGCAAAACCATTTTAAAATTTATTACATCCGTTTTTTATTTTGCAATATAAACTCTGAGCATCTGTAAGAAAAAAATTAAAAAATTTAAAAGTATTTACATAATTGAATGAGTAGCTTTATCTCAAGAGTAGTGAATGCTTTCTGTTTAATGTTTATTGTAGATAAATCTTTTTTGAAATATGACGATAACCAGACGAGCTTGTCAAGGCGAGAGTATAATAAAATATGTACAGTAATAAAATACGTGTCTCCGCATGAGTAACTTTATGTTTGCAACTATTTACAGCTGTATGCGACATTCCGCGTTAGTTGGCTGCATCCTATTTTCTACATATTCTATTATTCGATTAACGTTGGTTACTAGCTTTTGTAACACAAACATTTAAAAAGAACACTTTACTATAAAATTAATGCATATTCTAAATTAGGTTTCGTAGATTTAATTTAAAATATATAGGCTGGTATGCCTAACGGCGTTAAGTCCGCTCTGTGCATATTTTATTGTAATAGGAAAGGCAATATGGAATTAAATAAACAAAAATAAATAAAATTAAATTCAATGGTGTGAAAATATTTATCTGAAATTAACTAACCTGCCTTTAATACTTTTTATAATTAACAAATAACCTTTTATATTGATGTGTGAGTATGTACAGTATTACATTTTTGTAGTAATAATGGTAATCTGGCTACGCAAGCGTTACGACGTTATTTGTCACTGCACAGCTAAATTAACAGGCAACTCGCAGAAGTCCGGATTTCGCAAAACATGAGTAGATTAAATTCTACGATACGAGTGGGTTTGTAGTCCGGTCAATTTAGACCAAAAAATGAGAGTGAAGTTACATAAAGTCCCAACAAGCTGAATTTCAGTGAAATTGTTCAAAATATAATTATAAACAATGTCTAGAAGTTCCCCATCATTCCCCTGTAAGGAAAAAAAATTATTCAAGTTCAAAGGTCAAAAAAATGAGTTTTTCGCGATTTTCAGCAAAACGGTAAGTTTTATCATAAAAGTACTTCAGACAAAAATTGTAGATCATAAAATTATCTATAAAAATGTATCAATACTTTTTTTCTTACGAGCCACCGTTTCTGAGATATAACGATTCAAAAAGTTATAAAAGTTGTTATCGTCATAATATACATGAGTACGCCACGTATATACATCTAGAGTTGTTATATTTTATATATTATATATATA